CCCGCCAGCCAAAAAAGGGAAAGAACGCCAAGGGAGAGGTCTGACAGCCTAGAGGTGAGAAGTGGTAAGAAGCAGCGCTGCAAGCCCAAAGGCACACGATCTGAATCCCAGAGTTGCTCCGCGGGAGAAGGATGGGCAATCTCCTCCCGTGAGATTTACTGCCTTTGAAAACACGCCTGGAAGTTCACCTATGGGTCGGTTCCAACTTCAGGACAAACTACCACAAGTGCAGAATTGAAGGAAATCCTCGGGCATGCTCAGTAGCCGAGGACCAACCTCTTTTCCCCCAAGCGGAAGTCAGAGGCGGATGTTTGTCTTTCCCAGAGGGCTTTGCCCTCTCGTCATGGCTGCCTCCATGTGTCGGTATCCGCACATGGAGGCTTAGGGTTGTGGGTGTATTTACAGCATTTGTCGTCTCTGGATCTGGAGTGTTTGAACTCTAGTCTGCCCTATTTCTTTCTCTGAATCCTTCCTGACTGTCATCGGAGCCTGTCCTACGTGTAGTGATGCCTGAGGAGATGTGGCCCCCGGAGCTGGCGGTTCTGAGAGGATTCTCCACGGAGGCTGAGCAGCTGCAATGGAAGCAGGAAGGAGCCCTCGGCTCAGGTGAGGGAGGCGCACCTGCCGGGACTCAGGCCCGTGTGGGGGCTGTGATGACGGCTCGCGGTGGCCGAGTTTGCGGCCTCTGCTCGGTGAGGGAGGTTTGGTGGTGGTGGGCGTGTTGCTCAGGCTCTGTCGGCATCTTCTCACTGCTCAGCTCCGAAGGAGCGATCGCGATGCCGGTTCCTTTTGGAGCTCTTACTCTGTGCATTCTCACGTGTAATCCTTATAACAGCCATTTGAGGGACGTGGGTACTACTCTGATCCCGATTTTGCTGATAAAGACATGCAGGTACAGATATACTAAATAATTTATTCAAAATTACACATCAGGTGAGCAGAAATCTGAAGTAAGGTAGCAAAGATATAGTTATTCTAAGAAGTGCATATTTATGGCTCAGATAAAGAATTTTAAAAGGTACATGTACTGCCGGGTGAAGAGATTCAGATTGTTAACAGCTTCAGTTTGCTTGGCTCCACAATTAACACTCTTACTACCCGCAGCCAGAAAATCAAAAGACATTGCATTGGGAAAGTCTTCTTTTCAGGGACCTTTCCAGAGTGCTGAAGAGCAATTATGTCAGTCAGGAGACTAAGGTGCACCTGATACAGTCCATGGCCTTTGCAATCACTTGTTATGCATCAGACCGCTGGACAATGACTAGGGATGATAGAAGGAGAATTGATGCCTTTGAGCTGTGATGCCTGAGAAGAGTATTGAATATACCATGGACTGCTAGTAAAACAAACAGGTTCATCCTAGAGAGGGTGAAACCAGGCTTCTGGCTGGAGAAAGGATTCTGAAGCGCTTTCTGACATATTTTAAGCATGTTGCAAGGAGGGACCAGTCCTTGAAGAGGGACAGCATGCTTGGGAGGGTGGAGGGACAGTGCAGAGAGAAAGACCCTTGATGAGATGCATCGATTCAGTTGGGGGTACGTGTGAGGTGGGCTCAGGATAGAGCAGGGTTCAGAGCTGTTTTACATAGGGTGGCTATGAGTCACAAGCAACTTCAGAGCACATAACAACAACTACTACTGGGATAAAATGACAACCTGTGGTGTTTTGGTGGACCCAGAAGGGAAGTAACAATTTATGACAGACTGTGTAGTGAACACGTGTGAGAGTGTTTTTATTGTATCCTAAAACAGGAAATTTATCCAATGGTGATGTTGTGATTTAAAGTATGAGAAAAATGTTCTTCTGAATTCTTAGATTAATTCTTTCTCTTACAGAGAGTGGACTTTTCCTACAGTTTTTTCTAGAAGGGAGGTACAAGGCTGTATTCTTGAATTCCTTGACACAAAATATCTTTAATTCGACAATGATGGCTGAAGAAAAGATTGACAGCTTCCTCGAAAAGCAGATAGTTACATTCTTGGATCATTCAACAGATTTGGCGGAAAGTGAAAGGTACTATTTTATTAGGAAATTGCATATGAAAAGATTCTGAATGTGTTTCTATAGTGCTTTGAGTTTATTGTACTGATTTTTGTGGTTGTTGAAAATTGCTTTATATTCAGTTCTTTATTTAAGGTGTAGTAAGCAATCTGTGTATACTGAGCAATTTGTATAAGAACTCCTGCGCAGAGGTTCATTCAAAATGAAATAGTAAATTAGTATAGGATATAAACGATTTCACTTGAGACACTGATCATAGAAGAGGATGGTACTGCTAATGCAGTGGGGCCCCAAATGTTTAGGTTTCATAGGTAGGTTTTAGCTTGGGCAAGCTTTTAGACCTATATATTCCTTTAAACTTGAAAACATGAGCTTTCCTTTTAAAATTTTACTTGCTTTATTTATATTTTTGTGATTTGAGTGCAAGTTTATGGAGCAGATTGATTTTTTCATTAAGCTGTTCATACACAAATTTATAACATGAATTCCAATTTGCACAATATAATCACACTTTCCCCAATCCTCTCTGTAATTCTCATTTCCATTGATCCTTTTATTCTAGCCCTTTCTGCCTTTAGGGCTTTATGCTATCGAATGCTGAACTTTTGACATTATATGATTGGTTATTCTAAGAAGTGAGCCTCCCAAATTTTGTTGGTCATTTTATAGGCCTGTTTGTTGGGAAACATGTGTTTTCAGTCTTGTTATTTCTAGGTGGCTTAATCCATAGGAAATTGTTCTGCTAATTCAAAGGCCACACCTCTCTGGCAGTTCCAGTCTGACAGTAGCATTAGAGTTATAACCTTAGAAACCTAAAAGAGGATCAGCTATGGGTTGGCTCTGACTTGAGAGCAGTGTTTTTGGTTTTTATTTTTTTTAAAGTGATGCTTGTAGCTACTATTATTTTGTTACAGATTCTTAGTGGTAAGGAAGGAGCATTGGTGGCCTAGGGATAAGAAGCTGTGCTGCCATCTCAGAGGCACGCAGTTTGAATCCGGCATGGGATTCTTCATGGGAGAAGGATGAGCATGATTAACTGCCTCTGAAAAGCCAGTGGAGGGTCAGCTATGAGTCGATTCCAACTCAAAGGCACACAACAACAACAACAACAACAACAACAACAACTACAATAGGCATAGGGAGTTTGGGTGGCCTAATGATGCCAGTCTCTAGAGACTAAGGTGGGCATGATTCAGGCCATGGCACTTGTTATGCATTCGAGAGCTGGGAAATGACTAAGAATAATAGAAGAAGATTCATGCCTTTGAGTTTTCATGCTGGAAGAGAGTATTGAACATACCATGGACTGCCAAAAGAACAAACAGGCCTGTCTTGCAAAGGGTAACCATGTTTCTCTTTGAGGCAGAAGTTTGAATTTCTGTCTCACGTACTTTGGGCACATGGCCAGGAGAGACCACTTGTTGGTGAAGGACATCATGCTTGGAAGGGTGGAGGGACAGCACAGGAGAGGAAGACCCAGGATGAGATGGGTTGATACAGTAACTGGGATAATGGGGATAGGTGTCGGAGTCAGTGAGACTGTCTCAGGACAGGGCAGGATTCAGAACTATTGAACATAGGGTTGCTATGAGTCGCAGGTGACTCAATGGCACATAGCAACAATAGGTAAGGAGTTGGCATGCCAACCCAAACCACAAACATCTCCTTGGGAGTAAAATAGATTGTTTCCGTCTGTGCAGTTTACAGCCTCTGAAAACCTCTGGAGGTTTGGTTATGAGTCAGTTCCTACTTGATGACAGTGACGTTTTTTCAAGAGATCAAGATTTAAACCAATCTTCTCCAAGAGAACTTTATGTGATGATGCAGGTGTTCTGTATACTAACATGGTAGCTATTACCACATATGGCTATGGACACCATAATTGAAGAAATGAATTTTAAATGTTATTTATTTTAATTAGTACAAATTTTTAAAGATATATATGGTTCCTCTTTACCATATTGGGTTGTAGAGTGCCGTCGAGTTGGAATCATCCCATACTTGACCCTCCAGTGGGTTTTCAGAGGCAGTTAATCGGATGAGAGGAGATTGCCTGCAGAGCATCTGGTCAGTTCAAACTGCATGCCTTTGAGATTGGGGCAGCTTCTTACCACTAGGCCACCAGAGGTTGGCTAGACTTTTACTGTGTCCTTAACAACTGCCAGTTGTTTCTTCTGTTTTAACAAAACTGCAGTGATACAGTAAGCTTGGGGTCTTGAAATGATGATGGTTTATATTTATTTCTTTAACCATTCTTCTATGCAGACTGCAGCTGATATTCCTACTTGGTGTGAGCAGTTTGCAACTTTTTGTTCAGTGTAACTGGACGGGGCCGCCTGTTGACTTAAAACCTCAGGATTTTTTGCCAGCTCCTTTGTTCCAGCAGTTGAATGAGGTATGCTTCTTGAACAGCATAGATAGCTATTATTGTGTTATTCACACACTAGTCTAAAACTGGGGTTACTAGTAAGTCGGAAAGAAACAACTTCATAGCTTGCACAAAACTACTAAAAATGCTTATGCCTGGATCAGATTTTCAGGTATTTACAGTTTCATTGTCAAGTGTTAAGCAACTTTTCAGATAATCCCCATTTTATAATGCTGTTAATCATTCCTTTTTTTAAACTATTTTGGTTTGAGTGGAAGTTTACAGAGTAAGTTGGTCTTCTATTAACTCATCTATCCACATTTTGTTTTATTAGTTGAAATCCCCATGTTCTAACTGCACTCCCACTCTTTCCCTTCCTCCTCGTGATTCTTGATGCCATTAATCATCCTGTCTTAACTTTTCTGTTCTTCTTAGTTTTATCGCTATGCAAATGCTGCCCTTTAGATCTCATGTACGGTTGGTTCTTTTAAGGAGTGAGTACTTCCACTGTGTTACTGCTCATCTGATAGACCTGCCAGTGTTAGGATGAGAATTGAACGAAAGGATGAGCTTTGTTCCAGGCCGGAAGGATGAAGTAAGGGCCATAGTCTTGGGGGATTCCAATAGTCTAAAGCAGCACGTCTGCTTATTTTGTGATTTTGAATGTTGTTCCAGATGTCTTTCCCACTCTGTCCAGGATCCTGTATTGTGATCCATTTAAAAGTGATCAGCAGTGGGAGTTGAGCACCATCTATTTCTTATGGTCATAGGATCATAGAAGTTGTGGTTCTTGGAATCCTTGGTCCTTTGGACTCACTGTTTTGATATCTTTGATTTTCTTCTCTCTTCCTTGTTCCAGACAAGGAGAGAACAGTAATTACACCTTAAATGCCTACTTGAAAGCTTTTAAGATCTCAGTTGCTACTTACCAATGTAGGTTGTAGAACATTGATCTTGTAGACTAAGGTCCTGAGGACCTAGGACCAGCACTCATTCTCTCAGGGTATCAGGTTATGACTGAGAAATTTGTGTAACTTAACTCTCTGATGCTTCAGCAGTATACATCATTAGTCATTCATTTGCTTTATTAAAGCACAGTCAATTGCAACAGACACCCACTTGCTTATATTATTAGAGTTACATAAAGATCTTTTCTGGCAGAAAATCTGGAAATTTCTTAAACCTTGTGACAAGTAAATTTTGCTGCTTAAGAGTTTAGGGCCTGGCATAGAGGTGTCATACTGATGATAAGAATTCTTACTTTTCATATATTAAGTTAGTACTAGTGGTAGTGTATGCATAAAGATATATATAATAGAGTGTATTGACCTGTGTCACTGGCCATCTATAGAGCTCTCGGTTTAAATTCGTCAGGAATTTTTAAGAACATACGCATAGGACTGCATGAGGATAAGATGATGTAAAAATAATCCATTTAGAGCTAGAACATAACTGTTAACCTGTTAGTCAACAAAGGATGCCCTTGATGTTTGCCCACCGTGATTAATGCCATGAATATTACTCAGTTGTACATGTAAAAAATACTGGCTTGGAAAGTGTGTTATGTAGATCTTTAGAACATGCAACAAACAAAACCCCATTTTGTTAAGTGAAAGAAACCAGATGCACATACACAAACAGGGGGATCCCTAGAATCTAAAAATTATATAGTAAAAGGAATATCTTCACTGTTACCTGCTCTCCCAGGAGTTGTAAATTAGAAGTAGTAATGAAAGTGGATACAGTTGTTTGAGATAGATGTTAATAGTTTGATTGTGGAGATGGCAACAAAAAACTAAAATACAAAGGCAGATACTTTGAAAGCCAGTTACCATCTGTATACATCAGTTAATTAAATTGCTGTATTGTAATAGAATAACTAATAGTCATAATGCTCACCCTAATCCCTAATTGTTGTTGTTGCTATGTGCCATTGAGTCGCTTGCTACTCATAGCGACCCTATATACAAGAGCCCTAAATGCCGTTCTATCCTGTGCCAACCTTGCCTTCTCAGACACACTCATTCCCACCACTCCACTCACAGAATCGATCCATCTCATCGAGGGTCTTTCTCTCCTGTGCCATCCCTCCGCTCTCCCAAACACGATGTCCCTCTCCAAGGACCAGTTCCTCCTTGCAACATGCCCAAAGTATGTCAGACGAAGCTTTAGAATTCTTGACTCCAAGGAGCATTCTGGCTTCACCCTCTCCAGGAGAGGCAGAGCTTTCTTCATCCCCATGCCCTCACCTAAGATACCCCGGGAAGACGGGAAAGGGAATCCCTAATTAAACAGTTAAAATATATGCACTTTGTGTATAAAAAGAGGATCTATAACCTTAGAAAGATTTCTGTCTGAAGTAATTACAAAACAAGAAATATGGCATTAGAAAAAGATAATCTTTTGTTATCTAGAAATTGACTTCTAGGGAGCATCTCGTTTCTTCCAGTACTGTATATGAAATAGTTTCTGGCTTCTATAACCTTATAAAGGAGCTCTGGTAGCCAAGGAGGTAAAGGTTTGCTGTATCAACCCAAAGACAGTTTTAATCCACCAGCCCATCTTACTCTGGAGAAAGATGGGCAGTCTCTTCCTGTGCAATTTTTTAAAAATTTTATTTTATTATTTTTAATGAACATTTACAGAGATTTTGGATTTCGATTCATTCATTGTTGCACTTTTCTCCCTGCCCAGCCCTCTCCCCCCTCCCCAGTTCACTCCTCTCTTTGAAAAGCAAAAGAAAAATTCCTTCCTTGGTATAAAATCCCCCCGCACCCCTCCCACCGTCCCAAGTACACTCCACTATGCAACCTTATTTCTGGACTCTTGTGATAACCATGATACCCTATCTCTCATATATTGCTTTCAAATTATTCTCTTCCTCATCTGTTTTCCTGTGCAGTTTTCAGCTTCTGAAAACCCACTGGAGGATCAGGTATGAGTTGGTTCCAACTCCATAGCAATTATTTGACTTTGACAGACTTAGAGTTTAGATTATGAATCCACCAAACATCTAAAGTGATAAATATTCCCTGAGTGTGGACTCTGGAACTAATGGTGTTTAATTCATGTGTTACTTGGCCCTTATAGAGGGGAAGTATTCTATAGATGAAGAGATTGAAGTTAAAATCAGTGATAGAATCTTGGCAAAGATCTTAAAGCCGAGGGGTTTGAATCTACATGTTTTTGTTCCAAATCGAATGTTCTTTCTGCTATACTAGTTCTGATGGAGTAGTCTGTAGGTGTTGTTGCTAACTCAAAGGTTACACTTTTCTAATAATTCGAATCCACTTGCTGCTCCATTGGAGAATGTTGGAAAAAATCTTTTCATGTGAGATGTATAGCCTCAAAACCCCAATAGGGTTGTCCATGAGATGGTTTCATCTCAATAACAATGAGTAAGTGAGTGAGTATGGAAGTCTCTGTAAACTTAGCTGATATTTCAAGCAATACAGAAATAGGTCCAGACAATAAGAAATACTCAAACTTTGTAATGAAGAGATTTGTGGAAACAGGATTTTGTCAGAGCAGACCTTTTAGTTGAGATGGATCTTGAATGATTAGAAATGGATAGTGAAGAATAAGAGGATATGCCCTCAGTACAGCCGGATGAACTGGAATGAGAGGAGGAGAACATACGGTTTAGTTGGACAGGGAAATTCTGAACTTTCTGGATTAGCAGCAAGACCAGACTTGAGGTGGTAAACTTTGTCTGTGGTCTTGATTTTAATTTCTTTGTGGTGGTTGTTAGAACTAACTCATTAATTCAAAAGAACACAAGAAACATTTACAGTTTAAATAATGAAATTTCAAGTACTTAAACTTATCTTGAGAAATTAACTATTATTAGCATCTGAGAAGAGTTCTCAACTATTGTCCCCAAATATTAATCTTCTCTGCCATTACTATGGCTCTGGGAGCCTGAGGTGACCAAGTCCTTGAGCTAGGCTCCCCTAACTCTTAGTGGCCTCTTCTAACTCTGGTATGCACTGTTAATAATACTATTTTCTCTTTACTGTACTTTGAAACCAAAAAACAAACCCACCCCTCTGCTATCAAGTTGATGCTGAATCATAATGACCATCTGTCAGGTTTTTTAGGCTGTAAATCTTCAGGGGGGGACACCACTGCTCATCTTCTCTTTCAGTGGCTGGTGGAGTCAAACAGCCACCTTTCTGGTTAGCCTGACTGTCCTGGTGACCTTGCTGGCAATTGAAATACCACTGGCCTGCTTTTTAGCATTACTGTGGTTTGGCACTCTGGCCACTACAGTGTGACAAACTCATTCACAATGCCCCTTAGACACAATGATAAGGGTTCCTTTTGTTTGCTTCAAGCATATTATCAGGAAGGACCAATGAGTAGGAAAAGATATACTTGTTAAAGTGGAAAGTCAGTAAGAATGAAAACAAAACAAAAAAAAAAGGCAAAACAAACCAAACCACACCACTTCTGAGACACCAAAGCCTCAATTGTGGGCTCAGATGTACCATAGATCATGGATACGCTGTAAGACTAAATAATGTTTTGCGCTATTGTAAGGTTGCCATAATTCAAGACGAGCCTGACAAAACTAACACCAATCTGGTACTGTTTTATTCTGTCTCAACTGCCAGATGTTAAATGTTTATTCCTTGTCATGGTGATAAAGAATGCATTTTTATATGCCATTTGCTCTCATGACTGAGGAATTGTAAGAGAGTTGTAATCTTCACTTTGTCTGTTTTTATTGAAATTGTAAACAATCCTGTTTAAAAACGTACCTATTCTTAAAACATCTGGAGGCACGTAGAACCCAAATGAGGAGTGACTGCTGTGTAATAATTAGGGATAGGCAGACACTGACTTGAGCAGTGGATCAACAGCACAACTTCACCTCGACTCAACTCATTGCTGTTGGAGTCGTCTCAGAGCTGACCTTCCAGTGGTTTTCAGAGCCTGTCAATTGCATGGGAGGAAATTGCCTGTTTTCCTCGTAAAGGTAGATCCAAACTTCCAAAGAAGTGCTGTGTTTGGGGAAGCAGTGC